CCTGCCCGAGTTTCCCTTTCCCAGAAAAACGGTAGAGGACAGGTTGGGAGTATCCTGGGCTCCAGAGTAGACCTAGGGATGACTCCCATACATGGTCTGATCAAGATTTTAACTGGGAGGTTCGACCACTGTCTCTACCCTCTCATTTTGGGAAATCTATTTGCTTCATATAAAGTAAAAAGAGGGAGATGTGGGGAGCCGCCTGCCGTCCCTGCAGACGCCATTACAAGATGGCGTTCACATCCGGTTCATGCTGAGCAGTAAATAAGTCAGTACGCATGCCCGAAGTAATTTTCCACCTTCTAGTCTCTGCCTACCTCGTGGCGTGATATGGGCTGATGAGTTTGCGACCAATCAAGAGTTGCCACGTCCAAGACGGGCTTACTAACCTATATAAGGGCTGGGTTTCCGACATTCGGGGTCTTCGCCCTGTAAGCTTATGCTCTCCCTCTCAAGATGCATTAAAGCTTTTCTGCAGAAGGATCCTGAGTGTGCCGCGTCGTTCTTGCTGGCGAGACGATAGCGCGGGACACTGGAGAGCTGCTCTTGCAGAGGACCTGGGTTTGATTCTCAGCATTCATGTGGTAGCTAACAACCATCTTTAACTCCAGTTCTAGGATAATCCAATAACCTCTTCTGATCTCCATAGTGCACTTACATATATGCAGGCAAAAACCAATCATACATGTAGAATAAAAATAACTTAAAAAACCTAAACCAACCAGAATATGTATCAATGGACTAGAACAGAGTCCAGAGATTGTCTTGAATATATATATGGGAAATAAATTTACAATAAAAGCTGTGCCTAGTGGTACATATCTATAGTCCCAATACCAGGGAGGTAAAGACAGGAAGATCTCAACCTTCAGGGTTGGGATACCATACTGACTCTGAAGGAACAAATAAAAAGTTGGATTTAAATTCAATAGGGAGGGGCTGGAGAGATGGCTGAGCAGTTAGGAGCACTGGCTGCTTTACAAAGAACCTAGGTTTGGTTGCCAGGACCCACATGGAAGCTAACAACCATTTATAATGCCAGTTCCAGGGGACCTGACAATCTCTTCTGACCTCCAAGGCATTGCACAACACAGGTGCACTTACATACATGCAGGCAATACACTCGTACACATAAATAAAAATAATAAATATTTAAAAAATAGGGAAAATGTATTATCACGATATAGTGCTATGATAATTAACTAGCCACACAGGGAAAAATTAAGTTAGTTCCTTGTTCACTCTTTATAGCAAACAAAATACCACAGGTGAGAAGATTTCAATGCAACAAAATGAACAAATAATAAAACATGAGAGAATCTTTTTTGGGGGGGGTGCTAGAATTGAAAGGAAATTATAAGTTTACAAATAAACTTAATGACAGAAAATACAAAAAGAAAAAAGATAAAGAAAACAAATGACACAAGATAAACTGGAAGTATATCTGTAAACATATACTAAGCAGAGAGCTAATTTCCATAATGTATGAAGTTTAATAAATTAAGAAAAAATGAATAACTTACTATAAAAAGGGTATAAAATATGAAGAGACCAATTCACAAAAAGAGAAAATTCTCATGTACTACCAACAGTATCACAAAGAATAATGATCTAAACTGAAAAAAGCATGCTCCTTTAGGGCAGTGTTGTCCATCTGTAGCACGGGCTGTGCAGGAAGCTGACCAGGAGAATCAGTTATGTCTAGCAGTTTGAGGTAAGCCTGGTTAACACCGACAGCAAATACCAAGAAAACCAAATCATTACCAATTCACAATCTTGAAGCTGAAAATAAATACATGCAGATCTATGGCCTACAAACATCCATTATTAAATAGTTATGGCACACATCTGTTTATTTCTGGTTGCCCAACATTTGAATCCTTTCCCTAAATTTATGGCATGTATTTTTTTAAAATTAATAATAAAGGTTTTTGTTGTGGTGGTTGTTTTGGAGAGTTTTATTTGTTTACTTGTTTGTTTTTTGAGACAGGGTCTCACTATGTATTCCTGGCTGGCCTGGAACTTACTATGTAGTCCAGGTTGGCCTCAAACTCAAGAGATCTACCTGTCTCTCCTGGGATTTAAGGCTGCACTATCATTCTCTACCCTGGGCTAAAGAAAGGTTTCACCAACTTCCTTGAAGCTAGAGAAGGAAAGACTTTTATAATGTAACAGCATAATTATAGAAACGGCTCAGTTTTTTGGATACAAATCCAGAGGTAGTGATAACACTAATAAAACTGCTTCCTGGGGAAAAAAAAGAGCATAGAAATGATAAATGTGCACAGCGCGAGGGCTGATGGCATACTTCACTATGACAATGAGCAAGACTGTGCTTCCTAGTGATACAATGTTTCTGGTAGGTTATTCTACTCTATCTAAATTTAAAATAAACCTATTTGCTAATGATGCAGTTCTATTTCTAAGGATTTGTTGGTCAGGCAAAGTCATACAACAGACTAAGTACAATGACATTTTTGTAACACTGCAACAGCAAAAGTATGGAAATAACCTAAATGTTTATCATAAATGAACTTGTAAGGTCCTACAAGATGACTCAGTGGGTAGTCACTGTCTGCCAAGCCTAACTACCTGAATTCAATCCCAAGGACCACAAGGTGGAAGGAGAAAATAAACTCCCATAGGCTCTCCTCTGACCTCCACAGGTGCGCACATGCACACGCACGCACGCACACACACACACACACACAAAATGGATAAATGTCATACCATGCTATGTTTAAAGGAACAAAGCAGGGACCTTCCTACTGATTCTAAACAATTCCAAAATACATTGTTTTTTAAAAAGGGGAGACAAAGACAAAATGATTGCCTTAAGTTCAAGGCCAGCCTGACTTATATAGCCAGCACCAGACCAGTCAGGGCCATATAGAAAGCCACTCTCAAAAACAACAACAAAACCCCCCAAAAATAAGGATGGGGAAGTGTTTCATAACAGAAAATACAGAGAGAATTTATGTTTATAGAGTGTATAAGCATATGAAAAAGTGTATCCATGATTTTAAAGGTAGGCTATAAAATCAATGTGAATAAAGCATCTCTGGAAACCTAAGAACTCGGGGACAGGGAAAGAAGTAATATACTCATCATCATTGTAAACTAAATGGCTAGGGAATACAATAGACGTTAACAGATAAAAATAAATGCTTCTAGCTGGGCGTGGTGGTGCACACCTTTAATCCCAGCACTCAGGAGGCAGAGGCAGGCGGATCTCTGTGAGTTCAAGGCCAGCCTGTCTACATAGTGAGTTCCAGGACAGCTGGGGCTACAGGGAGGCTCTGTCTCAAATCAGGTTGAGTAGGAAGAGATAATTCAGAAGCACTGAAATGCAAGTACCAAGTAAAGCATATAAAAAGATGCTCAGCCTCACTGGTTGTCAAGAAAAATATAAATTCAAAACACAGAGAGACAGAGACACAGAGAGAGAGTGAGAGTGAGACAGAGAGAGAGAGAAAGAGAGAGAGAGAGAGAGAGAGAGAGAGAGAGAGAGAGAGCGCTGAGAATATAACTCAGCAGGTAGAATGCTTACATAGCATACATGAATTCTCAAGTTTGATCCACAGCACAGTACGTGGTATGTGTACATACCTACAATGCTAGCAGCTTGAGGGGTAGAGGCAAGATTAGGAGTTCAAGGTCATCCTCAACTACACAGGGAATTTGAGGCCAGCCCTCGCTAGGTAAGATTTGTCTTAAAAAAAATTAAAAGTAAAAGTAAAATCAAAATTAAAAAGTCTTGCGTTACAAAGATGGCTCAGTGGTCGAGAGCAATGACTGTTCTTGCAGAGGTCCCCAGCACCGCATAACAGTTAACAGCTGTCTGTAATGCCAGTTCCAGGGGCTCCAACACTCTCTTCTGACCTCTGTGGGCACTGCATGACACGGGTGCACTTACATACTTGCAGGCGATACACTCATACACATAAAATAAAAAATAAGTATGAGAAAAAGTTTTATTAATTAGATTGGCAAAAAAAAAAAAAATTAAGATCAATAATAGTGTTTCACCAGGTGTCTTGGTCCATGCCTGAATCCTAACACTTGGTTTAACTTTATTTTTAGTGTGTGTGTGTGTGTGTCTGTTGGGGCATATGTGTGCCACTACTCTCACGTGGAGCCGGTTCTCTTCTATCTCTACATGGGTTCTGGGGATCCAACTCAGTTGGTCATTGGGTTTGTGTGGCAAACATCTTTACCTTCCGTGCCATGTTGGTCCCCAATTCTAGTAACTTAGGAAGTAGAAGTAGATGAATCTTTGTGAATTGGAGGCCAGATTTATTCACTGTGCCAACTCACTCAATCCCAGCACCTGGGAAGCAGAGGCAGGTGGATCTTTGTGAGTTTGAGGCCAGACAGGGCTACATAGTGAAACCTTATCTCAAACCAAATATTCAGTGCTGATAAAGGTGTAGGGAGTCATTTGCGGTACTGTTCCATGAAGTGTACACATCCTTTCACCAAGTGCTTCCACTTTGGGGATACTATTCTACAGAGATAGCAAGACCTGGACATGAGGATGTGTGCATGAGTGCCGTTATTGTAGCGGTATTTGTAGCAAACAGTACCTAAAATAAACCAATGTCATTGACAAGAATGGGTACATGTCTGACTTATAACCATAAGATTGCACTATTCTGCATTTGAAAAAAGTTATTAGAAAGCCAACACTAACCTGAAATCATCTTCTTTCTCCTTTTCTTGTTGGGCAGACTACTTTTGGAAGAGCCCCTTTCTGTCTTCTCTTCATTTTGGAGCTCCTGGTGTGTTTGTAATATTTCACACTTATCTGAGACAGACTTCTTGTTCCCAAAGAAGTCCAGTCCCTGAAGTGCCTCTGAAGAATCAGAATCATATTTCCTTTTTCCTACCTAAAAGCCCAAAAATTTGAATGAAATCTACTGCCAGAATGGTGCCGTTTTCATCCAAGCAGGACCAGAAGTAAAGACATGGGTTCAGAAACTCCTCATCCCTTTAATCCTTTCAACCAAGTATCTGTCAAGCTGAAGGAATCCCAAAGGACTCATTTCTGACCTCCTAACAGTAACAATAGCAAAGAACAATTATATGTGCTTGCATGTGCGCTCTCTCTCTCTCTCTCTCTCCATATGTATATATATACACACACACATATATATACATGTGTGTAACACGCATATATATGCATATACATACATATATATCTCAAGTAGATCTCCAAGCATAAGTCATCGAATAATTCATCTTCACAGCAACCCTATGTAAATTAGTAGTGTGTTAGATAAGAAAATCCAAGGACATAACCTGACCAAGGTCTCAAAAGTAGTGACTGGCAGATCCACCATTTGGACCCAGAAAACCTTGCTCCAGACTGCAGATTTAACCACAGTATTGCAGTCAGAGTGAAGAAATACACATATCTCCCCTAGCTCTATTTCTTTACAGTAAGGTTTACATTCAAGAAGTTACACAACTCGGCCCCAACTGACTTCTCTCTATGCTGACTACTTCTCTCAGATTCTCCCATTTCCAGAACACTTTTCTGACTGGTTACTTAAAAGTCACTGGTTAGAGAGATGAAAAGAACAATGCCCAGTACAGCTATCTGCATACCAAGTCAAACCTGAGTAGACAATTGTTAAAGAGTATTTTCTTAGTCCCGGCACGGTGGTGCATTCCTTTAATCCCAGCACTTGGGAGGCAGAGGTAGGAGGATCTCTATGAGTTTGAAACCAGCCTGATCTACATACCGTGTTCCAGGCTAGCCAGATTGAAATGGTAATCCCCTGTCTCAAAAAA